GGATTCATCATGTCGCACAACACACAAGCCGAAATGCGACATCGACGCACTGTCTAAACACTGCAATTGGGAACCCATCTACGCTTGTGCGTTGGGCCTTGTTGAATGTCTGTGCAAGAATGGATGACAATCCAATGCCAAACCACAACGGATTCACCATGTCGCGCAACACATAGGCCAGAACGCGGCATCGTCGCACTGTCTAAACACTGCTGACGGGAAAGCATATACGCTTGTGCGCTGGGCCAGTGCTTCATACCACTCTCTCTAAGCACCTTGTTGAATGTCCGTGCAAGACTAGATGACAATCCAACGCCAAACCACAACGGATTTGCCATGTCGCGCAACACACAGGCCGGAACGTGGCATCGTCGCACTGTCTAAACACTACTTACGGGAACGCATCTACGCTCGTGCGTTGGGCCTGTGCTTCATACCACTCTCTCTAAGCACCTTGTTGAATGTCCGTGCAAAAATGGATGACAATCCAACGCCAAACCACAACAGATTCGCCATGTCGCGCAACACACAGGCCGAAACGCGGCATCGTCGCACAGTCTAAACACTGCTGACGTTAACGCATCTACGCTGGTGCGTTGGGCCTGTGCTTCATACCACTCTCTCTAAGCACCTTGTTGAATGTCCATGCAAGAATGGATGACAATCCAACGCCAAACCACAACGGATTCGCCATGTCGCGCAACACACAGGCCGGAACGCGGCATCGTCGCACTGTCGAAACACTGCTGATGGGAACGCATCTTCGCTTGTGCGTTGGGCCTGTGCTTCATACCGCTCTTTTTGGGTGCCTTGTTGAATGTCTGTGCAAGAATGGATGACAATCCAATGCCAAACCACAATGAATTCGCCATGTCGCGCAACACACAGGCCGGAACGTAGCATCGTCGCACTGTCTAAACACAACTTACGGGAACGCATCTACGCTCGTGCGTTGGGCGTGTGCTTCATACCACTCTCTCTAAGCACCTTGTTGAATGTCCGTGCAAGAATGGATGACAATCCAACGCCAAACCACAACAGATTCGCCATGTCGCGCAATACACAGGCCGGAACGCGACATCGTCGCACTGTCTAAACACTGCTGACGTGAACGAATCTACGCTGGTGCGTTGGGCCTGTGCTTCATACCACTCCCTCTAAGCATCTTGTTGAATGTCCATGCAAGAACGGATGACAATCCAACGCCAAACCACAACGGATCCTCCATGTCGCGCAACACACAGGCCGGAACGCAGCATCGTCGCACTGTCGAAACACTGCTGACGGGAACGCATCTACGCTTGTGCGTTGGGCTTGTGCTTCATACCGCTCTTTCTGGGTGCCTTGTTGAATGTCTATGCAAGAATGGATGACAATCCAACGCCAAATCACAACGGATTCGCCATGTCGCGCAACACACAGGCCGGAACGCCACATCATCGCACTGTCTAAACACTGCTGACGTGAACGCATCTACGCTTGTGCGTTGGGCCAGTCTTTCATACCACTCTCTCTAAGCACGTTGTTGAATGTCCGTGCAAGAATGGATGACAATCCAACGCCAAACCACAACGGATTCGCCATGTCGCGCAACACACAGGGCGGAACGCGACATCATCACACTTTCTAAACACTCCTGACGGGAACGCATCTACGCTTCTGCGTTGAGCCTGTGCTTCATACCACTCTCTCTAAGCACCTTGTTGAATGTCCGTGAAAGAATGGATGACAATCCAACGCCAAACCACAACAGATTCACCATGTCGCGCAACACACAGGCCGGAACGCGACATCGTCGCACTGTCTAAACATTGATGACGGGAACGCATCTACGCTTGTGCGTTGGGCCTATGCTTCATACCGCTCTTTCTGGGTGCCTTGTTGAATGTCTCTGCAAGAATGGATGACAATCCAACGCCAAACCACAACGGATTCGCCATGTCGCGCAACACATAGGCCGGAATGCGGCATCGTCGCACTGTCTAAACACTGCTGACGTGAACGCATCTACGCTTGTGCGTTGGGCCTGTGCTTCAGACCACTCTCTCTAAGCACCTTGTTGAATGTTCGTGCAAGAATGGATGACAATCCAACGCCAAACCACAACAGATTTGCCATGTCGCGCAACACACAGGCCGGAACGCGGCATCGTCGCACTGTCTAAACATTGCTGTCGAGAACACATCTACGCTTGTACGTTGGGCTTGTGCTTCATACCACTCTTTTTGGGTGCCTTGTTGAATGTCTGTGCAAGAATGGATGACAATCTAACGCCAAACCACAACGGATTCACCATGTCGCGCAACACATAGGCCGCAACGCGGCATCGTTGCGCTGTCTAAACACTGCTAACACGAACGCATCTACGCTTGTGCGTTGGGCGAGTCTTTCATACCACTCTCTCTAAGCACCTTGTTGAATGTCCGTGCAAGAATGGATGACAATCCAACGCCAAACCACAACGCATTCGGCATGTCGCGCAACACACAGGGCGGAACGCGGCATCATCGCACTTTCTAAACACTCCTGACGGGAACGGATCTACGCTTCTGCGTTGGGCTTGTGCTTCATACCACTCTCTCTAAGCACCTTGTTGAATGTCCGTGCAAGAATGGATGACAATCCAACGCCAAACCAAAATGGATTCGCCATGTTGCGCAACACAGAGGCCGAAACGCGGCATCGTCACACTTTCTAAACACTCCTGACGGAAACGCATCTACGCTTGTGCGTTGGGCCTGTGCTTCATACCACTCTCTCAAAGCACCTCGTTGAATGTCCGTTCAAGAATGAATGACAATCCAACGCCAAACCACAACGGATTCGCCATGTCGCGCAACACAGAGGCCGAAACGCGGCATCGTCACACTTTCTAAACACTCCTGACGGAAACGCATCTACGCTTGTGCGTTGGGCCTGTGCTTCATACCACTCTCTCTAAGCACCTTGTTGAATGTCCGTTCAAGAATGAATGACAATCCAACGCCAAACCACAACGGATTCGCCATGTCGCGCAACATACAGGACATAACGCAGCATCGTCGCAGTGTCAAAACACTGATGACGGGAACGCATCTACGCTTGTGCGTTGGGCCTGTGCTTCATACCGCTCTTTCTGGGTGCCTTGTTGAATGTCTGTGCAAGAATGGATGACAATCCAACGCCAAACCACAACGGATTGGCCATGTCGCGCAACACACAGGCCGGAACGTAGCATCGTCGCACTGTCTAAACACTACTTACGGGAACGCATCTACGCTCGTGCGTTGGGCCTATGCTTCATACCACTCTCTGTAAGCACCTTGTTGAATGTCCGTGCAAGAATGGATGACAATCCGACGCCAAACCACAACAGATTCGCCATGTCGCGCAACACACAGGCCGGAACGCGGCATCGTCGCACTGTCTAAACACTGCTGACGTGAACGCATCTACGCTGGTGCGTTGGGCCTGTGCTTCATACCACTCCCTCCAATCACCTTGTTGAATGTCCATGCAAGAATGGATGACAATCCAACGCCAAACCACACCGGATTCGCCATGTCGCGCAACACACAGGCTGGAACGCGGCATCGTCGCACTGTCAAAACACTGCTGACGGGAACGCATCTACGCTTGTGCGTTGGGCCTGTGCTTCATACCGCTCTTTCTGGGTGCCTTGTTGAATGTCTATGCAAGAATGGATGACAATCCAACGCCAAATCACAACGGATTCGCCATGTCGCGCAACACACAGGCCGGAACGCGGCATCGTCGCACTGTCTAAACACTGCTGACGTGAACGCATCTACGCTTGTGCGTTGGGCCAGTCTTTCATACCACTCTCTCTAAGCACCTTGTTGAATGTCCGTGCAAGAATGGATGACAATCCAACGCCAAACCACACAAGATTTGCCATGTCGCGCAACACACAGGCCGTAACGCGGCATCGTCGCACTGTCTAAACACTGATGACAGGAACGCATCTACGCTTGAGCGTTGGGCCTGTGCTTCATACGGCTCTTTTTGGGTGCCTTGTTGAATGTCTGTGCAAGAATGGATGACAATCCAACGCCAAACCACAACGGATTCGCCATGTGGCGCAAGACACAGGCCGGAATGCCGCATCGTCGCACTGTCTAAACACTGCTGACGTGAACGCATCTACGCTTGTGCGTTGGGCCTGTGCTTCAGACCACTCTCTCTAAGCAAAGTGTTGAATGTTCGTGCAAGAATGGATGACAATCCAACCCCAAACCACAATAGATTTGTCATGTTGCGCAACACACAGGCCGGAACGCGGCATCGTCGCACTGTCTAAACATTGCTGTCGAGAACGCATCTACGCTCGTGCGTTGGGCTTGTGCTTCATACCACTCTTTCTGGGTGCCTTGTTGAATGTCTGTGCAAGAATGGATGACAATCCAACGCCAAACCACAACGGATTCGCCATGTCGCGCAACACACAGGCCGAAACGCGGCATCGTCACACTGTCTAAACAGTGCTGACGTGAACGCATCTACGCTTGGGCATTGGGCCAGTGCTTCATACCACTCTCTCTCTGGCGGGCACCTCCACCCGTGGGGCGCCGTTGCTGCCCCCACGCCCCTCTCCCCATGCCTCGCTGGCCCCTTCCTGCCGACACCTCTCTATTCCCCTCGTCCGTGCTCTCCGCATGCCCTCTCTAGCTTCCCGCGCTCGCTCTTCCTCTTGCGCCAGAGTTCCGCCTTACGTTCTACTCTTTTGGCGGCTCCCACCTGCCTCATACCACCTCTCCCTCGATTCTCCTCGCCCCTCTGTCCATCCCCACTACACCGTCGGCGGTCCGTGCACCTCCCGCTCCTCCCATCTGCTCATCTCGCGCCGCGGCCGCCTCTCTGGCGATGGTGACCAGGCATCCAAGTGCTCCCTCCAAGTGCGCGGCTGACGCCGCAGTGACCGCTCCCCCGCTTACTTCTCCCTGCGCGTGTGTTGTTCGTCCGGCGAGCAAGACCAGCTGCTGACTCTCCGCTCCCTCTGCCTAGTCCGGCCTGGCGAGCGTATGGTGCTGCTGCGTCCCCCTTGCTGCTGACCGTGCCACTTCGGCGACGCTGTTTCCGCCTCTCACCCTCTCTCCCCGCGCGGCTGCCCTTCCTGCCGAATGCGAAGCGCCGCCGCTCCACTCTCCCTGCTCCTGGCGCTCGTCGCGCGGGCGGAACTCGCCCACACGCCCTCCCCCGAGGCGCCGCTCCCTCTCCGCTGAGCGGGACCGCTCCTCCTTCCCCTTGCCGCGCGAATTTGGCGCCTGCCACGCTTGATGGCTCATCTCTGGCCCGCCCAGCTCCTGCCGTCCGGAGCTCTCCGTGTGCCGCCCTTCCTCGTAGGGATCGTCTCGACCGCGCGATCCCCGTGGCGGAGCCTCTAATTCCGAAACCGCCACCGGGCTCGTCTCTGCTTGCGCTTCCGCCGGCTCGGTTTTCGCATCGCCCGTTTCTCCTGTTCGCGCCTCATTCGCCCCTTCTATCCCTGCCTCCTCGTCTGACCGTCCCGATCCTTCTTCCTTGTCCTCCACGCCCTGCTCCGGCGTCTCTTCTCGAACTGCATTATGCGGCAAGTTCTCTTTGCGAGCGACGCTACCGCTGCTCCGTCCTTGTCCGCGAGACTGCTCGCCGAACGCCAACCACCGCCCTCTCTCGTCGCAACGTCGTCCGCGCTCCTCCGGGGAGCGGAATACCCTTCCGCCGTGGTGGTTTCCGCCCTTCGCGCCAGGTCCGCGTCCACTCTCCTGGAGCCACGCATTTCGATCCACGCGTTCGGCGTGTCCTTCGTCATTCGTTCGCGCATCAGCTACTCGAACGTCCCTCACAACAGGGACCCGATCGGCGTGGAAGGCGGGATGGCGCGGCAATCGCTCCATGGATCGCCCGCGCTCTCGTGACGGCTCTCGGCGCTCCCGTTCCTCCTCCCGTCGGCTATACGCCCTACCCCAGTGCAGCTCGTATCGATCCATCTCGTTCGCGCTAGAAAGTTACAGTCCATCTCGTTCCCGTGTCCCTTTCTCGCTGATTCGAAAGCGCCTGGTCTCTCACCCCGTAGGTTTCCTATTAGTGTCGTGCTGGCGTGTGCTAGAGCCTGAGACAATCAGTTTCACTAGTGTAAGGGAATATCAGCGAGAAAGCATTTATGGGTTGGAGGTGAGTGACCTTACCCCACCCCTGGCTGCACATTTCCAAATGTGCGGCTCAGGGTTGGGGTTCATTGGTTTCACATTTCGCCTTTCGGATTCTTTCCCCCTTTTTATCTCAATCGCTCTTATCCTGTTTCCCCCCTTCTACACCCTCGCTCCTAACAGTAACTTTGCTACATCCTACACCTAATACCTATATTCTTATTCCTATCTCATCTTCCTATGGACTTAGGATGAAACCCACACTCCATCATCATTCTAGTGTTATTGCATATGCATTAAGTGCATATGCGGTCACATGTTTCACTGTAGGGCGGCGGTTTCAGGGGGTGGGGGACGATTTCAGGGTGGGGTGGCGATGGTTTCAGGCGGCGGTTTCAGGGGGACGCGACGAGACTGGCGGTAGGGCGGCTAGACAGGCGTGGCAGCGGGTGGGGCGGATTCTGACGCTGGGAAACGAGCAGGACGCGATGGGGGGGGGGGGGGGGGGGGGGGGGGGGGGGAGGGGGGGACGGGAGGCGACGACACGGAGGGCGACGGGGACGCGACGGTGAGGGGACAGGAGGCGACGGGGGACGCGACGGGACGGAAATGTGATGCAAAGGGGGGGACGGGAGGCGACGACGCGGAGGGCGACAAGGACGGGACGGTGAGGGGACGGGAGGCGACGACGCGGAGGGCGACGAGGAAGGGACGGGGGGCGACGGGAACGGGACGATGTCGCGACATAGGGGGGGGGGGGACCCGCGAGGGGTCCCTTCCTAGCGCGATGTGACGTGCCCGCGGGGGTCGTTTTAGGTCGTGACGCAAGAGGGACCCCCGTTGGTCCCTTCCTAGCGCGATCTGGCGGGCCGGCGGGGGCCGTTCTAGGTCGTGACGTGGGGGGGACCTGCAGGGGTCCCTTCCTAGCGCAATCTGGCGGGCCCTCGGGGGCCGTTCTAGGTCGTGACGGGTGACGGGCGGGGCTAGCGGGCTGACGGGATCGACGGGGAGGGTGCTATGGGTGACTATGCGCTACTCATGACAAGGCGCTACGGGTGACTAGGGGCTACGGTCTAGGTCAGGGTACGGGGCGGTGGGCCCATAGGATCTTATCGCTCTATACCATGTCAAAGTGACAACTGCTGAATGAAGTGATAGAAAATGTCAAAGTACAACCCTAGATATAGCAAACCATAATCATGCTAGTAAGTAGAAATGTAACACCTAGACAAACCTAAACAACACATATAAATATATATGTTGACACTACTAGTCCTGATCCTTCCTTAGAGTGTCCACCGCCTGTCCAGTCCGAGTCACAGTTACAGCCCGCCTCCCCACTGCCGGCTCCTTCTCCCTACACTGGTCCTACTGGAGGTCTTGCTGAGCGTCGTGAGCCTGCGTCTCGTCCTGCGTCGCCTGTTCGTGCTGCTCGCAATGGTCATCGTGTTCCGCGTCAGCGTCCTCCTGCGGTCCCAGGCACGCACCAGATGGCACGGTGTCCTTCCACTGCTCCACTGCGAGTCCCTTTGCCGTCTCCCCCAGAGTCCTCTCTTCCTGCTCTTGCTGACCCTGAGTCTGGCTCCCTTCGTGCTGCAAGTCTTACTGTCACGCGTCTCCTGGCTACTGTTGTCACTGACCCTTCCTTTGAGTCCACTGCTACGTCTGCCTTAGTTGCTGAGCTTGTCGACTTTGCTGCTCACTATCGTCTTGACTACACCGCTAGCCTTGCTGCCGAGTCTGGGTCTTACTGTCCTCCGTCTCTTGGGGGTGGGTGTGCTCTTAGCACGGACGTCCTTGAGGACAGGCAGGAGGAGTTTCAGTGTTTTGCTGCTGCTTTACCTCATCTCGTGTCCATGCTGATTGCCCGTGAGGGAGACCGGGATGCACCAGGCATCATGACTTTGCGCTCTTACACAGAGGCGATAGAGGGTCCCTACTCCTCTCAGTGGCAGTCAGCCATGGACGCAGAGATGACTTCCTGGAAGTCCACAGGCACCTATGTCGACGAGGTTCCCCCATCTGGGGCGAACATCGTCAGTGGCATGTGGATGTTCAGGGTGAAGCGGCCGCCGGGTTCTCCGCCTGTCTTCAAGGCACGTTACGTGGCTCGAGGCTTCAGTTAGTTGCAGGGAGTTGACTACTTTCCCACCTTCTCTCCCACCGAAAGATGACCACACTTTGGGTGCTGCTGCACATTGCCGCTCAGCGCGAGTAGGAGCTTCACTCTCTTGACTTCAGCACTGCTTTCCTGCAGGGCAGCCTGCACGAGGAGATCTGGCTGCGCCACCCTCCTGGCTTCACTGGGTCGTTTCCTCTTGGTACCCAGTGGAGCCTCGGGCGGCCAGTCTACAGTCTCCGCCAGGCACCCCGTGAGTGGCACGGCACTCCGAGGACTACAGTTGCGGCTCTTGGGTTTGCTCCTTCTACTGGTGACCCGTCGCTGTTTCTACGCACTGACACCTCTTTGCCGCCGTTCTAAATCATCGTGTACGTCGACGACTTGGTCTTTGCTACGCTTGACACTGCTGGACTTGCCCACGTGAAGTCCGAGCTGCAGAAGAGACACACGTGTACAGACCTGGGTGAACTGTACAGCTACCTTGGCTTGCAGATCACCCGGGACAGAGCACAGCGCACCATTACCCTGACTTGGTCACACATGGTGCAGCAGGTCCTTCAGCGCTTCGACTTCACGTACTCCTCGCCTCGGGCCACTCCTCTGTTAACTCGCCACTCGCTCCGAGCTCTGCCTTTGGATGAGTCCGTAGAGCCGAGTGGCCCGTACCCAGAGCTTGTTGGCTGCCTCATGTACCTGATGACCTGCCCACGACCTGACCTTGCATACCCTCTTAGCATCTTGGCACGCTATGTTGCTCCTGGGAGACACAGACTAGAGCACATGGCTGAGGCAAAGAGGGTGTTACGCTACGTGTGCAGTATGTTGGGCATGGGGCTAGTGCTTGGAGGGCGGAGTGGAGTGGTCCTCACAGGTCACGCAAACGCTTCTTGGGTTAAAGACCTCGCTACGCATCGGTCGTCACAGGGTTACACCTTCAGCCTTGGTTCTGGCTCAGTTTCATGGTGGTCTACTCGCTCGTCTTATGTTCTCAGCTCCAGCTGTGAGGCTGAGATTTACGCAGGGGCCATGGCTGCACCGGAGTTACACTGGCTCACCTACGTGCTGACTGACCTTGGAGAGCCGCCGCGTTCTCCTCCAGTTCTGTACGTAGACAACAAGGCCATGCTGGCCTTGTGTCGGGAGCACAGACTGGAGCACAGAACGAAGCACATTGCTCTCCGCTACTTTCTGGCTCGTGAGCTGCAGCAGCGTGGTCAGCTGCGCCTTGCTTACGTGGCCCTTAGGGCCAACACTGCTGATATCTTCACCAAGGCGCTTCAGCCTTGTGATAATCAGCGCTTTTGTACTATGTTAGGTCTTTTGCCTACCTAGCCTCACTTGCTTACCTCTTGACTTTGCCTTGTACTATGATTTATATATACCTGCATCTGCATACTTACCCTTGCTAGGTTGTGATAACTGTCTTGCCTGTTCACCTTGATTTATAATCCTGCATGTTAACTGGCCTTGTGGCCTCTGAGTTTGTGCTCGGAATGTGTGGTGACGTTGTGATCCACCCTGAGCTTGTTTTGCTTTGCTTGAATGGTCTTGTGACCCCTAGTTCTCCCCCACTTTGCCTATGGGGGTGTGTCACATATATATGACTTAGCCTTTGTAGGCTATCGTGGGGTAGACAGTAAGGGGGTATAGGTTTCTAGGGTTTCACTTTGTACCTGACAATTTCTAGTTCAATTCATTCTTGTCTCTTCACAACATCGATCCCCAGCCACGATCAATCGTAGCTTCCTCAAAACAGTTAACGCGTCCTAAAGGCGTCAAGTTTTACCATGAACCGAGTCGACATCAAGGGAGCAGAAGAATGACAGTTTTGTGCAGTAAGACGTCGTACAGGCTAGCAAGACTTTCACAAGGTTGGACGAGTGTGGTCCACCCCCTTTGTTAACGTCCTCGCCAGTGTTTTGGATTCAGACCATCCATCATCCCCCCTCTCCCTCCCCCACCTCACGTCCAGTCGGTTCAGTTGTTGCTTTAGCAAAGTGCTTCCTGTCGGACCAAACTTGTACTTTCGGTCCTTGCCGGAGAAAACACCCATTTTACCCCTCCACTTCACTTTGAAACGACCGGATAATATATTGCATTGCCTGCGTCATCAGGCAGTGCAATGAGTCAGCGGGCAAGAAAAAAAAACCCCAGATGGTACAACAGATATGATGTCTGCAAGTCTTCGGGCTAAGTCGCAATCTAGAAACGATGTCATGCGAGTAGGAGATAAAGGTTCTCATCAGCGTATCATTTTTAAAGCCCAAGACCCGAATTGTGTGAACTATATTGCAGGCTGTAGTGGGGCACTCCTTACGTGGTACAGCGTTGTTAGGGTTTACTGCTTGTACTCCTCATTCTGCTCAATACACCCATACCTTGCTCTTATTCTCACATGGCATTAGAGCAGAATCGTTCCTAGGGCCCATCGAGCGTTCCGCCCTGCCCTAATTGATTTTTTTTTTAGCTGCCCCTGCAACCACGCTGCCCTTGCAGCCGACGTGCTGCCCCTGCGACCGTGCTGCCCCTGAAGCCGTGCCTGTCCCTGTAGCCGTGCCTGCCTCTGCAGCTCATGGGAGCTGCCTCTGCAGCCCGCGCGCCACCCTCTCGAGCAGCTGTGCCTGCCCCTGCAGCCATGCACTGTCCCTGCAGCCGTGCCTGCCTCTGCAGCCCGTGGGCATTGCCTCTACAGCCCGCGCGTTACCCTGACAAGTCGCGTGGCGCCCATGCAGCCCGTGGGCGCTGCCTCTGCGACCCGCGCGTCGCCCTCCGTCGACGGTCGAGCCGCTCCCCCCTACCCCGTCGCGACGCCCTGGGGAGCTGCGCGCAACCCTTGCTGCTCTGTCGCGACGCCCTGGGGAGCTGCGCGCGGCCCCCGCTGTCCCGTCGCGACGCCCTGAGGAGCCGCGCGCGAACCCTTGCTGCCCCATTGCGACGCCCTGAGGAGCCGCGCGCGGCCCCCGCTGCCCCGTCGCGACGCCCTGGGGAGTCGCATGCGACCCCCCGCTGCCCCGTCGCAGCGCCCTGGGGAACCGCGTGCGGTCCCCCGCGCTGCTGCCCGCGCTCCTGCCCCGCCCTACAGCAACTGCCGCGGAGCCCCCTGCCGCCTTCATGGCCCAGCCCTGCAGCAGCTGCAACGGAGCCCCCCTGCCACCGTCACGACCCTCCCCTGCAGTAGCTGCCGCGTAGCCCCTTGCCGCAGTCGCGACCCCGCCCTGCAGCAGCTGCCGCGGAGCCCCCTGCCGCAGTCGCGGCTCCACCCTGCAACAGCTGCCGCGGAGCCCCCTGCCGCCGTCGCGGCCTTGCCATCGCCGACGTCGTGCGCCTACCCTGCTCGCCCGGTGGGCGATTACCCTCCCCACCACTGATGAGCACTTGCCCTGCCCGCGCTACTACTGCTGTTACTGCTACTACCGCTAATACCACTGCTACTACTTCTACTGCTGCTCCTGGCGTTGGCCAGATGCAGCTCCAGCGACGTTCGCGTCAGTCCCTCACGCCCCAGCAGCTTTGTGGATGGTACGCTAGTTGGGGTTGTAGGAGTGGCCGCGCTGCTACTGCTGCTACTGCTGCTCCTGCTGTTACTGCTGCTACTGCTACTACTAGTGCTACTACTGCTACTGCT